CTAAACGTAGAGGAAGACCGCAGATGGGACAGAAAACTCGTCTGGAATAGTATAGAAACCAGGAGGAAGTGAGAAGAAGTCAGAAGGTGTGGAGAAACGACCTACAAGGTGCGGTATGTGAAGAAAGAAGACAGAAGATGTGCTATGTGAAGAAAGAAGACAGAAGATGTGCTGTCCTGACATCACAAGAAAGTCGATGATGAAGGACCAACCGACTACAGCTGCTGAGCTGCCGCCATCCCCTATTTTTCAGCTACCAGCTGGATGGAAGACGTGAGCTATGCCGGACCCAACTAATGTACTGATGTTGTTGATGTATAATAAAAAGATATCAATACCCTAATATGTGAAGTAGGAACATTTTTTGTGTATTTTCAAGTATTTTCTCTGATTTTGTTGATGTTTACTACAAAGAATGTCTTTTTTTAGTCTCACTTTTTTCTATGAGTTCATTTGATCAATGTCTTGGACTATGAAACACGATGTTGTAGCTATATTACTGACTGAGATGAATTATTATTTTGACATGGGCTGATAAGGAAATGTAACACCTGTTATTGTTTGTAGAATGTGATTTGCAAGGTTGCCTCGGACACTATGCTACATATGAAGGATTTTTTCATTCTATGTTCACTTGCTATGTTTCCTTTTTCTCCTGGCATAGAAGCTTTGATCTTGGCGGGAGGTATAGTGAGCTTTGTCAGATCAAACTAGCGCCAGTAGAAAAACATACACCTATGAGATTGTTGTTTGTAAATGTGAGACTATGTTATCGCCCCAGGGATTATCTTTGACACCACACGTGATGTTGCTGTCTATATGTGGCATCAGTCTCTGTGATGAAGCTTTGGTCTTGGCGGGAGGTGTAATGAGTGATTGTCAGACCAAACCTTACAGCCCAGAATTATGCCGCATATAACAGCAAGAGCACTGCAGACCTCGTGGTACCACCACATTCCGGGTTGACACACCTCAGGTCGACCCAAGGGACTTGACCTCGCCCGCTAATGACGTGAGCTGGGTGACCTACAACCGCACCTAGCCAAGACACCTGGCCAGGACCACACCTGCACACAGCTATCTAGATCAAACCAGTTTAGTGTTAATTGGCAGAGGTCAGAAGCCGGCTGGGCCGACCCCATATAAAGGCCCTACAGTCCCGTCCACGGGCATTACGATTATCATTATCATTCTGATTCTGGTCATACTGATTCTCACTCTGGTTGCTGTCATCTCCCTCCCGTTCGGGTCGTCACTCGGTTCACTAAGCAGAGTCACGCACGTCCCCTCCCCAGGTCAGGAGGGAGACTTCCCGACCAGACCACGGCATCGCCAGCTGAGCAGATTCTCCCATAGGACGCAGCCCAGCCAGCACTCACTGGGCCTACGTCAGGGTACACGTGAGTCTTGTCAGAACGTCCTAGGGTGAGTTACCTACTGTGGGAAGTGTATTCATTCAGGTGTGTCTGAGAGTCAGTGTCAAGTAACGTAAAGCATGATGTGTTAGTACCCCGATATAATAGTGATATTAATGTGTCCATGTCATTGAGTGAAGTAATAAATAGTTGTATCAAGAGGTGTTTAACAAGTTGTCCCTTTAAGAAGTGATATATGTGTATTGACATACGAGATAAGATAAGCGTAGTGACGCTGTGCAAATAACATCCAGGACACGCTACCATTTCCTCTCGCTATAATACTCTACTACTATAAGCTCCTAACTTACCTCTTCATGTGAGATTTTGTCTCATTACACAGAGGTGTACCTGGGAGTGTCGGAGGTGTACTTGGGAGCGTCAAAGGAGTACCTGGGAGTTTCAGAGGTGTACCTGGTAGTGTCAGTGGTGTACCTGGATGTCTCAGAAGTGTACCTGGGAGTGTCATTGGTGTACCTGGCAGTGTCGAAGGTACCTGGCAGGCCAGGCGTGTACCTGGGAGGTCAGAGGTGTACCTGGGAGTGTCAGAGGAGTACCTGGGAGCGTCAAAGAGCACCTGGGAGGCCAGAGGTGTACCTGTAGGGTCAGTGGTGTACCAGGAAGTGTCAGGAGGTGTACCTGGGAGTGCGTCATTGTGTGCCTTGGGAGTGTCACTGTGTACCTGGAAGTGTCAGAGGTGTACCTGGGAGCATCAGGAGGTGTACTCTGGGAGGCCAGAACCTGGGGAGTGCCTGGGGGGTGTACCTGGGAGGCTGGGGTAACAGGGAGTGTCGGAGGTGTAACTGGGAGCAAGTCAGAGGTGTACCTGGGAGTGTCAGAGGAGTACCTGAGAGTGTCAGAGGAGTACCTGGGAGTATCAGAGGTGTATGTGGGAGTGTCTGGGGTGTACCTGGGAGTGTCTGAGGTGTACCTGGGAGTGTCAGAGGTGTACTTGGGAGTGTCAGGGGTGTACCAGGGAGTGTCTGAGGTGTACCTGGGAGTGTCAAGGGTGTACCTGGGAGAGTCAGAGGTGTACCTGGGAGTGTCATAGGTGTAGCTGGGAGTGTCAGAGGTGTACCAGGGAGTGTCAGTGGAGTACCTGTGCCAGGGTGTCAGTGGTGCCTGGGAGTGTCAGAGGTGTACCTGGGAGTGTCAGAGGTGTACCTGGGAGTATCAGGAGTGTACCAGGGAGTGTCAGTGGAGTAACTGGGAATGTCAGGGGTGTACCTGGGAGTTTCAGGGGTGTACCTGGGAGTTTGAAAAGTGTACCTGGGAGTGTCGGAGGTGAACCTGGGAGTGTCGAAGGTGTACCTACGAGAGTCAGAAGTGTACCTGGGAGTGTCAGCGGTGTACCTGGGAGTGTCAGCGGTGTACCTGGGAGTGTCGGAGGTGTACCTGGGAGTGTCAGAGGTGTACCTGGCAGTGTCAGAGGTGTACCTGGCAGTGTCAGAGGAGTACCTGGGAACTTCAAAGGAGTACCTGGGAGTGTCAGAGGTGTACCTGGTAGTGTCAGTGGTGTACCTGGGAGTGTCAGAGGTGTACCTGGGAGTATCGGAGGTGTACCTGGGAGTGTCTGGGAGTGTCAGAGGTGTACCTGGGAGTATCGGAGGTGTACCTGGGAGTGTCAGAGGTATACCTGGGAGTGTCAGAGGTGCACCTAGGAGTGTCAGGGTACCTGGGAGTGTCAGAACTGTACCGGCCATGTCGTGACCCGGGACGTCAACAAGATGGCGGCGCCTGACCTCCTGTATCCCTAAATGGTCCTAAATGTTGACTTGACCAACAAAAGGAAAAATTAAACTGTTTAGAGTAACGTCTGGCCAGTGACCCACCAGTGTGGTCTTGGCCAGTGATCCACCAGTGTGGTCTTGGCCAGTGATCCACCAGTGTGGTCTTGGCCAGTGATCCACCAGTGTGGTCTTGGCCAGTGACCCACCAGTGTGGTCTTGGCCAGTGATCCACCAGTGTGACAGTGATCCACCAGTGTGGTCTTGGCCAGTGTCTGTGGTCTTGGTCAGTGATCCACCAGTGTGGTCTTGGCCAGTGATCCACCACCAGTGTGGTCTTGGCCAGTGATGGCCACCAGTGTGGTCTTGGCCAGTGATCCACCAGTGTGGTCTTGGCCAGATGACCCACCAGTGTGGTCTTGGCCAGTGATCCACCAGTGTGGTCTTGGCCAGTGATCCACCAGTGTGGTCTTGGCCAGTGACCCACCAGTGTGGTCTTGGCCAGTGATCCACCAGTGTGGTCTTGGCCAGTGATCCACCAGTGTGGTCTTGGCCAGTGATCCACCAGTGTGGTCTTGGCCAGTGATCCACCAGTGTGGTCTTGGCCAGTGATCCACCAGTGTGGTCTTGGCCAGTGACCCACCAGTGTGGTCTTGGCCAGTGACCCACCAGTGTGGTCTTGGCCAGTGACCCACAGTGTGGTCTTGGCCAGTGATCCACCAGTGTGGTCTTGGCCAGTGCCCCACCAGTGTGGTCTTGGCCAGTGACCCACCAGTGTGGTCTTGGCCAGTGACCACCAGTGTGGTCTTGGCCAGTGACCCACCAGTGTGGTCTTGGCCAGTGACCCAGTGTGGTCTTGGCCAGTGTGGTCTTGGCCAGTGATCCACCAGTGTGGTCTTGGCCAGTGATCCACCAGTGTGGTCTTGGCCAGTGACCCACCAGTGTGGTCTTGGCCAGTGACCCACCAGTGTGGTCTTGGCCAGTGACCCACCAGTGTGGTCTTGGCCAGTGACCCACCAGTGTGGTCTTGGCCAGTGACCCACCAGTGTGGTCTTGGCCAGTGACCCACTAGTGTGGTCTTGGCCAGTGATCCACCAGTGTGGTCTTGGCCAGTGACCCACCAGTGTGGTCTTGGCCAGTGATCCACCAGTGTGGTCTTGGCCAGTGATCCACCAGTGTGGTCTTGGCCAATTGAATTACAATTTTACCGCGATCACCAGCTAGTTTATTGTGCACCTCATACTCATACTGTGAGCGGTAGCATAAACGGGATTACAGAGTAGAGGCCACAAAGGGTGTTTATCAGACCCCAGTGATTTTGATATTATGGCAATGAATGTTACAGAGTATTTCCAGTACATTGTTTAAGGCGGTACATAAAATTATGATGAGGTACTAGATGCCATTACATACACAGTGCGCTTGGATCTATCCCTATTAGATTCTATTTTTTCACAGTCTAAGACGTAGTGTTGGACAGTGTTGCCATATGTCTGGCCACACACTTTACATTTAATTTTGTTCACATCTGCTTGAGGAACATACTGCCAAAGGTACAGTATACTTATATCCTAACCTTAGTCTAGCAGTGACAACATCTTGTAATCTAGTGATCTTGTTACTTGCTCCATAAACATGTTTTATTTGATACATCTCATCATGGTAAACAATGGATTGACTAGTGCCTGTTTGCACTTGTCTATTGGCTAAATTTATCAACAAGTTCTTTCCTGTTCATAGTTTTTAGTTTTTAGGGTTTTATTCGACACTCCTAGATTGTATTCAGCATGTATGCCGTATATCACTGAGTTTATCCTCACATGACTAGTGCTAACCCTGATAACAATGTTTCACCAAGTACGGTACCAGCCGTACTGGCGTCAACGAGGCCTGGCAGAAGCGTCACCACCTTAATTTTCACTTCGTCTTCTACGAGGGCCTCAAGGCCGACATTATGGCCAAGCAAGAGAAGCTGAACGAGTTGTTGAGCACAAACCTCAGCCAGAAGCAACTCCTTAATGTATGATGCCGTGTGCTCGGAGGACATGTAAACAAGATATATTTGTTTCACTACATTAACTGTTTAACATCAAAATACCTGAGTAATGTAACAAGAATAACGAACAATGGTAGTGGGCTGTAATCAATATACAAAACCTTCCTTCACACTCAGGTAGGTAAATACACCGAGTTTAATGAGATGGCAGGCCGGGACAACTTGGTGGGGCCCACAACAGAAGATAATCCCCAGTACTCACAGGAGGTGGTGAGGCAGGAGGGCGGCTTCTTCAGGAAAGGTGGACACTTAACTTCTGTTAAGGATAGTCTTGTTTTCTTTACTCGTTTCACTAAAACTAAAGATAACCATTGGTTCAGGTAGATGTAACTGACATCCGCTATTGATATTATTAGTGATATTGCCAATAATAGCCCAGGGCTCTTGGTTGAAACATGTCGTAACATTTGATAAAAGAGATTGTTAAACATTGCAGAAATAAAAATTTGACCAAAAGCTTGTTGGTAAAGAGTTTAAGGATTACAAATCTTAATAAAAACTAACAAATAATACACACGATGATGGAATTTCTCAAGTCAACAACATCCGTTGTTTAAAATAGGAGTTTATTATAATTTAAAGATCTCATTTTCAGTATTCACAAATTCTTATTGAGGTGAATGATGAAGTAATATTGTTGATTCCTGTGCCAGGTGAGGTCGGTAACTGAAAGGAGAAGTTGACCCTAGACCTGGTACACAAGATCGACAAGTGGACGAAGAAGAACATGGGTGAGGTTCCATTTAAGTACATTTTGTAAACAAGTCTTCAACTGCTGGTCTCCTCCACTACAGCTGTCACAAGTACTGGCAGAACTACACCTGGAGAATAGTCACATAACACCCATGCTGGAGAATATTTTCCAGTGCACAGAAGAAAGAATCCAGGAGAAAATAAACTCTCGGAGAAGCCACAGGATGAAATTCCTCATAAAACATAAGCCATCTTCAGCCAACACATCATCATCACCTCCTCTGGTTCAGTTCGGCTCGTACTGAAAATTCTGCAAGCATTTATTGTCTACATCGTTCTGTATCATGTCATTGATGTAAAACTATTCAGAATACAAGCTGTTCTTGCTGAAGCTGATACTCTTGATGATACAAGTCTGGATAATGGCAGTAAGGATAATGTGACTGGATAATGACGGTATGGATAATGTCACTGTAGATAGTGACAGTATGGATAATGTCACTATGGATAATGACAGTATGCATAATGACAGTGCCGTATACATAATCAGCAAAGTATCTTGCCTTCTTGAATATATAAGTGAAATCCTTACATAAAACTCTCCTCGTAATTTATGCCAAAACCTACTCCCGTAATGAACAGACTGGTTCCAGGATATTTCGTTACCGAACAATTTGTCAGCATAAACCTAACCTAACCTAACCTAACCTAACCTAACCTAACCTAACCTAACCTAAACTAATATAATCGAACTTGACCTGACCTGACCTGACCTAGGCCTCATCGCCTCCAAAATAAAGACAATTATCAAAATTAAATCACTATAACACCCACCAATCAGACCATCCCAAGAACAGTAGTAGTTCCCATTCTACATCACATCAAAGCTAAAACAAGGAGCTTAGTTACCTCCAACTCATTAAGGCTTCTTGTAACTAATCCATAGAAGATGTTTTCTTCCTCTCCTCACTCTTAACTCAGTCTTCCATATATTTGGTGAAACTTTTCTCGTTGCCTGATGCATCTCACAACCATTCAGTAAAGTTTGGCATCAGGATCTAAAGCAAACTTCCTTCCTCTGTCCTTCCTGCTGTTCTTATTTCTCGAATAGTTTCAGGCGAGCCACAGTATCCGTCCTGTGTGTGTCCTTACCATAACTTGATGTGTTATTGTTTAAGACGCCCCAGCACTATGTCGCTTCTGGATTAACTCAACAGGAGGGACGAGAGGATGTATCTTTTAAATAAATAAAGGAAGATATAACACAACTCTGTAGAGGAGATAGTTTGTCTTACAGAGTTAAGGTGTACAATACTCTTCAGCTCAAGTGTCATTGATGAAGATGTTGCAAAGTTAAGTAAGCGTGATATAGAGTTCTTCATGAGGGTGTACAGTACTGGCCAGGTTTGGAACTTGTACAGTATATGTTTCTGGTTGATATCATTATTATATTTAATCTTATTTAAATAATTAACTTCCTGTAACTACTAATAATCACAACCATAGTCCATGTACTCGTTACATTATTAACTAAGGCTATTTTTGTGTCTACTTGACCAACTGTTCCTTGCAGCGTAACAATTTTTAACGAGTGACGTTACAAGCTGCCAGGGGTGAGTCTGTACTGATCTTTTGTATTATGACTGAAAAGAAAGTTCTTAAGTAATGTAATAATAAATTTACCTGACATCATTATCACTTGTGTTTAACTCTTCCTCTTATAAGATCTCAGAGTTGACATTATACTAAGGTGGGTTCATCAGTACCTTAACTGCACAGGTATGAGGCCACCCGTGTTTCGTCTCTACAGGTGAACTGGAGAGAGTAGGTACCTCTTTCGACAAGTGTATAGCCAATAGTACCTCAGCAGTTTAGGTGTAGTGGTCAGCTGTACAGGTATGGTGGCCAGCAGTACCTCAACTAGACAAGCATGGTGGCCAACCGTACCTCAATTGTACAGGTGTGGTGGCCAACAGTATCTCATCTGTACATGTGTGGTACAGGTATGGTGGCCAGCAGTACCTCAACTGTACAAGTATGGTGGCCAACCGTACCTCAGTTGTACAGGTGTGGGGGGCCAACATTACAGGTGTGGTGGCCAACAATACAGGTGTGGTGGCCAGCAGTACAGGTGTAGTGGCCAGCTGTACAGGTATGGTGACCAGTAGTACCTCAACTGTACAAGTATGGTGACCAACCGTACCTCAGTTGTACAGGTGTGGGGGCCAACATTACAGGTGTGGTGGCCAACAGTACAGGTGTGATGGTCAACAGTACAGGTGTGGTGGCCAACAGTACAGGTGTGGTGGCCAACAATACAGGTGTGATGGTCAACAGTACAGGTGTTGTAGCCAACAGTGCAGGTGTGGTGTGGCATTACAGGTGTGATGGCCAACGTACAGGTGTGAGGGGACAACCAATGCACAGGTGTGGTGGCCAACAGTACAGGTGTGAGGTGGCCAACAGTACCAGGTGTGGTGGCCAACAGTAGAGGAATTCAATGATGGCCAACTTAATTGCAAGTGTGGTGGCCAACAGTACAAGTGTGGTGGCCAACAGTACAAGTGTGGTGGCCAACATTACAGGTGTGGGGGCCACCAGTACAGATGTGGTGGCCAACAGTACAGGTGTGGTGGCCAACAGTACAGGTGTGGTGGCCAACAGTACAAGTGTGGTGGCCAACAGTACAGGTGTGGTGGCCAACAGTACAGGTGTGGTGGCCAACAGTACACGTGTGGTGGCCAACAGTACAGGTGTGGTGGCCAACAGTACAGGTGTGGTGGCCATCACCTATCCCTGAGAGAACAAGCTCTGGGTGTACCTGTCCTCTTGTACTCTAAATCAAATTATTATACCAAAATAAAAGTTGTAAGTGAATGAAGATCGTGTGGGGTAAAGGTATATTATATTAATACTTCACCAATATGAAGGGGACTGATGTCCTGAACGAGCCAACCATCATGAAAATGTTCTACCTGACGAAGCCCGTTGACCGCCACCCCGGGCTTCCTACAGGATTAGCTACTCTGGCTCCCTCACCTCTGGCTCACTCACCCCTGGCTTACTCACCTCTGGCTCCCTCACCTATTATTTCAGACTTTATTTACTTCATTTAAGAAACACTATTAGCCTCACGTTATGTTCTGCTCACACCCGGAACACTGTCAGCCTAACACCCGGAACACTGTCCTTCTTACGGAACACTGTCAGCCCTACTTTCCAGAACACTGTCAGCCTAACACCCGGAACACTGTCAGCCTAACACCCAGAACACTGTCAGCCTAACACCCGGAACACTGTCAGCCTAACACCCGGAACACTAATGTACACCGGAACACTGTCAGCCCTAACACCGGAACACTGTCCAGCCCAACTTACCAGAACTGTCAGCCCTAACTTTTTGGAACATTGTTCAGCTTCTTTACCCAGGTGCTGTCAGCCTCACACCCGGAACACTGTCAACCTCACACCCGGAACACTGCCAACCTCCCACACCCGTAACACTGTCCGGCCTCACCATCTTTTACTGTCAGCCTCACATCCGTGACATGTTAGCCTAACACCCGTGACACTGTCAGCCTCACACCCGGGTTTATTGTCAGCCTCACATCAGCCAACACTGTCAGCCTCACACCGGAACACCATCGGCCTCACGGAACACTGTCAGCCTCACACCCGGAACACTGCCAGCCTCCCACCCGTAACACTGTCAGCCTCACACCCGTAACACTGTCAGCCTCACATCCGTGACACTGTTAGCCTAACACCCGTGACACTGTCAGCCTCACACCCGGAACATTGTCAGCCTCACATCCGTAACACTGTCAGCCTCACACCCAGAACACTGTCAGCCTCACACCGTGTCACACCGCCTAGCTTGACTCATGGCACCCGCTACTGACCCAAATTAATGTAGCTGTGATTTGGACCTTAAATGCAGCCGATATCGGTATTAGCAATACGATAAAGCTCTTCATTAAACTGGTAGTGATCGTATCGTATTTCATTTACACACAGCCAACAAAGTGAGCTGCACAATTTTCAGTACACACGAGCCATTGCTTTTGACATGTAGCTCTTGTAATAGAATGAGTAAGGTTCACTGACTGCATTAAAAGGTGACGCACGTGACAGGAATGCTCGAGTGTTTTACCTTTATGAGGACGGCTTAATGTGTCGCCCCGACCAGCGTTGGAGGCAGCATCAGGCACATGGCAGATAACACGTTAATCTCCTGGTGTTACTACTGCTACCTACCAGGATATTATTTGGCTGTTTTAACCATATTATCAAACACTTTGGGATTGTGATTTTCAAGACGGGTAAATGGTGTGTGGTGATGGGACAGCCATTTGGTGCAGATGTGGATGAAATATGTTTCATAACACACACACACACACACACACACACACACACACACACACACACACACACACACACACACACACACACACCTGAACACACACACACACACACACACACACACACACACACACACACACACACACACACACACACACACACACACACACACACACACACACACACACACACACACACACACCATAACACTATAAGGACTCTGGTCAGTTACTCTTGACAACTTCCCTAGATCCCCCAAGACCTGTGTTCCCTCCCGTAGCACAAACTGTCATGGAGGAGAGATCCTGCCATCACGTTTTTTACTTCTCTATATTATACAGCAAAATTTTAAGACAAGAAATTGTACAGTATAAGTTAATGCCTGTAACGTAACAAGCTACTGACTGTAACAAGAGAAGCTAGTGACTGTAACATAACAAGAGAAGCTAGTGACTGTAACGTAACAAGAGAAGTTAGTGACTGTAACGTAACAAGAGAAGTTAGCCAACATGATGTGAGGCATCTACAAAGGATAATGTAACACAACTGCCTATATAAGCTTAATTCGTCTTCATATCTACTGCCAAAAGTTTTATTACTGACCGACCATCATACAATATTACAATTAAGTCAGTGCCAAGGTGCCAATACAAAGAACACATCACTCAAGAGCCACGAGGACAACACATCTCACAGCTCTAAGCCATGTTGTGGAATTACAGTATTTTTCTATGACAAAACGACAAGGACTTAGAAGCATATTAAAATAAATACAGTGATCACCAAGTGTCCCGACCATCTTGGGTTGGGTCAGGTTAGTTTGGGTTAGATTAGGTTGGGTTAGATTAGGTTGGGTTTTGTTATGTCAAGTCAGCTTAGGTTAGGTCAGATCAGGTCAGGAGAGCTTGGGTTGAGTTGGGTTAGGTTAAGTTAGGT